AATGGAGGGGTCCAATACCACAAACAGAGGGAATGAATCATAAAATCCTTGGATACGCACATGATATAGCTGTCCTTGGAAGTAATCAAGAAGACATTGAGAAACTCGCTGCAACACTGATAAAGAAGGCAGAACAGATCGGCAAGTAAATGAAGAAAAAACAAAATATATGATAATACGCCGTAAATTTCACCCCAATAACAGGATATTCGTAGAAGGAAAATCATTCCCAAGAATAGAAAATTCAAAAACCTCGATTCCTCAATAATCTCAATGGATGACCAACTGGCAGAAATAGACCAGCTTATAACTATCGCTAACAGAGCTTTATTCTCCCTCTCAAAGCTATTGAAATCCCGAAAATTCTCAAGAAATATCAAACTAGGCGGGGAGGGGATATATATGTGTAGAATGCTATGATAAAGTCAGTTCTAAAATATGGCTGTGAGACCTGGACACTAACCAGCATCCTTGAAAAAAAGTGTCGAAAGATTTGAGAGGAAAACCATCGGCACGATAACCGGAGCGATCTGGGATCAAAGTACTAACGCATGGAGAAGAAAGACCAATAAAGAACTGTTTAAAGAAACTGGTCAATCAATATCCCATGATATGAAACCACTGAGATTAAGATGGGCGGGGCATGTAACAATCCCCATGTAAAATAGGAAGCCTCTACATAACAATGAATACCTCAATAGAAGGCAAAAGACCACGTGGAAGACCAAAAGGCAGATGGATAGATAGCATCAAGAAAGATGCAATTGAGCTGCATGCAGATAAATGGAAAGAAATAGCTCAAGACAGGCAGAGGTGGGGCAGGCTAGTTAAGGCGGCAAATGATCTACAGACTGCCAACAGAATGCCAACAGAAAAAAAAAATAATAAAATAAAATAAATAAAAAACCATGGAGGGTTTTAATGTTATTATTTGGTAATGAATTTACTGTTTCTTGATTTCGTTGTTACAGGAACCTATACTAGAAGAATGAAAAGATTTATAAAATAAAATATAATTATACATTTATTCTATGAAACAAATCAATATGAATTGCCAATGATTTTGGGCTCACTTATATAAAATAATCTGTATATTATTATTCTTAAAATACACTGTGTCCTAGAAATACAGTTTTGTTTCTTTACAATTCTATTCAACTTTGAATGACGCGTTACGTGAACATTGTCCCATGAGAGCATACAATCTGTTTGTGCATGTGTGAAAATATATTACCAACACTAAATAATATGTAACTATCTTGGAGGTCATATTATTTGTTCAACGATATACGTTGAACTTCTCATGAAGTAACTACAGGGTTACATAATAAACATAAATCCCCAGACAATAAACACAGAATTTGAAAAACTGTACCAGTATATCAAAGTAATTGAAAAATACAAAAATACACCTTATATTTTCTTGGCAAAAAATAATTTACTCTAGTAAAGGGGATGAAATCAAGATGGTTGTGCCAGCCAGTGAGGTTGTTAAGGCATTCCTTAAGTCCTTTCAGTCACTAGCAGATCCAGGGATTTTTCATATACATATAACGATAATTAATTTGAAAAAAGAAAGAAAGGAATTAATTACCTATATGAAATGGTGTTTAAGTGGTTCTTGAAGTCCTATTAAATATAATTACACGAAGAAGAATACTTTAAGAAATAGTTTTAATATTTTTTTTTTGTAAAACATGGTAATATTTCACCATTTTAGGGGGGCTTCACCCCAAAAGGCCCTCCCCCCCGTAGATCCGCCTGTGCTTTTAGTCAAACCTTTTGGCTCCAGCTCGCACCAACTACCTAAAGAACAGGATCTATGGAAGAAGGATTTCGTGCTGAAGCCTCTCTCCTCTCCCTCCTTTAAAAAAAAATGTTGAATATACTCAAGCCTAACGAAAAAAAAATCTCTAAAAGTATTATTGTATATCCTAATTACATTTAATATTACTTTAGAAATCACTTAAACACCATTTCATATAGGTAGTTAGTTTATTTATTTTCACCTCTAATAAAGTCCGTTAACTTTGGGAGACAGAAAAATTCTCTAACATCAAACGCATCCAATCCTTTCAATCCAAAGTCCTCCGAACTATAGTTGATGCTCCGTTCTATGTAACAAACAAAAAACTACATCATGACCTTAATATCCCATTTGTCCTTGACCTTATCCCTGTAAAATTTTCAAAATTCCATCAGTACCTTATCAATCATCCAAATCCCCTAGCCCAATCCTTATCTAGTTCCACTCATCCCTACAACCCTCCTCGAAGGTTGAAGCAGCAGTGGTCCAGAGATCTTTTATAGTATTTATTTTGGAGTTCTGGCAATGGCCAGATTCTCCACTCAAGACATGAGTGTATGTGGCTAAAGCGCTCTCGCTCAAACTCCACCGGCTTTAGCACCAGTGAGGCTGTTGAGAGAGTAGCGCAGGGATTTGGGTTCCCTGCCTGATTGTATATATTGTATATAGGTATGACTGTATTTTTATGTTTTTAATTTACTTATAGGTTATTTTATTTTTTTATTGTATATAGTTTTTATTTATTATTATTTAGTTATTATTTTACTTTTGTTAATTTTTTTTTTTTGGATATACGGCGTGAATGTGTTCATTTATTAATATAATTATTGTCCCCGTGACAGAATATTATATGTCTGAATAAATAAATTAAGTCCGAACTAAGTTCTCCCCACAATTAAATCGTAAATCTGTAAGTGACCTAAAGGGATTATTACTGTAATCTGTCTACTTAAGTTGAAAGCTATTCTCGTATAACATACACGTGTATATTTTAATTCGAGCTAAGAAGAACACGTACAGTCCTGATCCAGCAACCTTGTTGTTCTGCCCCTTAATCATCACTAAAATCACATACTGGTCAGATAAACGGTTGACAGCCAAAGGCTTAAGGGTTTAGGCCCCTTCGCCCTCCCCTTCCAAAATGGTAAAATATTACGAAAAAAATATTAAGAAATTATCTCTAAACGTATTATTGTTTGTGTAATTACTTTAAGAAAACTATGAATTGGCAGAACAAAGGAATGAAAATTTTTGGAGAGTGGCTGAACCATTTAGAGTTTGCGGATGATCAAGTCCTAATAGGTTAAAATAAAGAAAAAATCCTAACAATGGCAAAACAATTAATAAAGGCTGGAGAAAACATAGGACTGAAAATAAATTATAAAAAATGCAAGAATATATCAGTGAACGTTGAGGGAGATATAAAAATAGGCGAACAGCATTTAGAGAAAGCAGATACATTTCTATATCTTGGGCACCTTATCTCAATTAAAGGACAAACTGAAGAAATAATCAGGCGATGTACCCAGGGATATATAGATCCTCGGTGAGCTCAGAGGTCAAGAGAAAACTTTGGATGAGCACAGTACTTCTTGTCATGACATATGGTTGTGAAACATGGGCAATTGACCGGAAGACTTGCCACAAATTGAGGATAACCGTCAGAGGAATGCAGCGATATCTTCTCGGTATAACTCGAAGGGATAGAAAAGCAAACAAATGGATCAGAGCTAAGACTGACCTTCCAGATATTGTGGAAAAAGTGTACATCAGGAAGTGGACCTGGACCGGACATGTAATAAGGAGGAATGAATTAACATGGACCAGTCAGTTTATGGATTGGCATCCAAGAGAGCAGGGATGGAAGAGAGGACGCCCGCCGACAGACTGGGACAAGGAGATGAAGAAGAGCTGCGGGGGAGCAGCCTGGGAGAGAGTAGCATTAGAGAGGAAAGAATGGGAAAGGATGGGACAGGTTCATTACCTAGTGTGGTTACAAGAAAGTCGAGTAAAAAAAAAAAAAAAGAAATCGAACTCAAAACCTCAACTATGTTGATTTTGTACATATAAGAGATTTTGTATATATCTATTTTTTATCCATTTTTTTTTTCATTGTATGTACAAATAAAGGTTATTATTATTATTATTATTACTTTAAGAATCACTTTAACACCATTTCATATCAGTAGTTATAGTCATAATAGTCATAGTCATATTAGTAGTTAGTTTATTTCTTTTTCTTTCAAAGTAATTATTGTTGTAGGTTTACCAAAAAAAAATCTTTCGGGCTCAAATCTCCCACTCAAAAATTAAATCCTGGATCCGTAACTGACCTAAAGTGACCATTACTGTCTACTTAAGTTAAAAGCTATTCTCGTACAACATACACGTGTACATTATAATTTAAGGTAAGAAGAACACGTGCAGTCCTGATTTAGCAACCTTAATGTTTTGTCCCTTAAACATCACTAAAAACACATAGTGGGCAGATACATCGTTGGCAGCCTAAGAGAGCTCCTTTTAACACCCGCTACTTCTTTCAAAATGTTCCTCATTCATACTTTGCCAGACATTGACTTTGCACGACTTGAACGTAGTGGGAGAAATTCTCACTTGTGGACATTCAACACAATTAACTTACTAAATTGGTTTCAAAGGCATTTAACTAATCAGTCCGAATCAAACTCGTGACTGAAAAAATTTGATTCAAACTGAATTATCCGTCTCTATGGTAGCCTTCTATGTTGAACGCACCATTCTATCAGTTGAAAATGAAGCAAGGCTATATTAGGCTTATGCAAGTATCGTCATATAAGGATAGCGTATGTTTACGTGATTTAAAACATTAATACATAAAACATTTACTTAATAATTAGAATGTTTTTAAATATTTCAGAGACAGCTTGAAGAAACTGTTAATATTATTTTTCTTATAACATATATATATATATATATATATATATATATATATATATATATATATATATATATATATATATATTTTAAACACTATGTCATACTTTGTTAAATTTTACGAATTTGCGATAACGAATATTTACGGTCACGACGGTTAGATGAATTTAGAGATAGCCGACACTCCTCTGATAAGGGGAAGTAAACATTCATAATTATGTTTAATTAGATCTCGGCAGAGACGCGATAATTCTTATAAATAAAAAAAATAGTCTTGTCTCGTCCTTAGTAAGTGGCGACCCGGCTTCCAACAAGGTGCTGTTGGGAAATGTATTAAGTCCTGCAGTGACTTCCCACATCCATTGACAACAAAATGAACTTCAAAGAGGGGTGAGTCAGTTCAGAGTTCTATGAGATTAATAATTATGAAAAGGCTCATGGAGAGCAACTAGTCTTCTGTTGGTCAGTAATCGCCACTAAACGAACTATTTAGAAATTTCTCGCCTTCAAGTAATTTTCAATATAAGGAAGAGTGCAAATAAGTGTTGGAAGTCAATGCTAACAGGAGGGATCCGAATGATGGTTAAGGTCAATGCTCGTGACAACTGATGTTTGAATCCAAAAACATGAGATGACCTTCATTTGCTAAACATTATAGTTTTATCTTCAATATTCGTTATCTTTAATAAGATATGGTTCTTTTCCAATTCACTTATTTATTTTAGTAATCAATTTCAAAAAATCTTTTGTTTTATTTATATTGTTACAATATCCTTCCAAAAACCGTCTTGCTAAGTTCCTTTATACCTTCCGAAAAAAAACAGTAAAAGTGAGAAGTTACCGAGCAATTTTGTGATCCACAATCTAAAACAAACAACTCTAATATTCTCCCGAACCAACGCCCATTGATCAAGAGCAACCGAGCTCCGGTGCGGAAATTCATCTCATATCGCACACACCTACAGAAATGAGATCAGTCTGTAATCAGCAAACAACTCAAGATAGCTATAAAACTTTTAGAAGCTCGAACTATTCATTGAAGAATTTAAATTCTCCCATAGATTATGTCGATGCCGCCCACGGGCGGATCTACGGGGGGGCTTTCGGGCTGAAGCCCTCCCAAAATGGAAAAATATAACCATGTTTTATGGGAAAAAACAATTTAAAAAATACCTCTTAAAGTATTATTGTGCGTGTAATTACATTTAAAAGTACTTAAGGAGTAAATTAAACACCATTTCATATAGGTAAAGGTAAATTTTTCTTTTTCTTTTTCCAAAGTAATTATCGTTATTTTTATGAAAAAAAAAGGTTTCGGGCTGAAGCCCCTCCCCAAAATTAAATCCTGGATCCGCTAGTGATGCTGCCAAGCCTGGGTCGTCAGTTTTTTTTTCTTCAGATTTTACTCATTCAAGCCATTCTCAAAATAACGAACTAAAATTTGTTACAAATCTTCGAAAAAAATGTATCCAAACTTATCAAGCGACTGTTAAATACAACTGTGCAGCAGAATATCTCTGAAGACATGAATACTATAATCATAGTTTACCGAAAATTTAAGAACAGAAAATAGAATGGTATTGACATTTCAAAGAACCGTAGGCTTCGAAAGGAACAACTGAGATTAAGTATTGATGAGTGTTTTAAGCTGACGTGAAACTTCACATATTTATAATGCACTATTCCAGGAAATATTGGTGGATCCAGGCATTTGGTAAATGGTTCGCTGAATATGATAAAAAAATCTATTCTCTGTGCCCAAGTTTTGGAGTTCCGGATGCCTATCGATGATAATAAAAACACCTACGTTTGGAGTTCGTTCCCCGAACCTTCTTTTGAGAAATAAAATTTACGCTGGAAAGCATTTAGAGAAAAACGTTTCTCTATCTTAACTAAACAAATATTTGCGGCCCAAATTTCAATACTCATTCACACTTTTAAAGCACACTTAAGGTAAACAAGTTGTTATTCGGTTTCTTAATAAGTGTTGCAATTATGACATAACGTAGGTATTTTTACAATATCCTTATACAACACCTTAGAACAACGCAACAGCAGTGGTATACAAACAAAAATTTAGATTGCCGTCAGGGTATCAAGATCTAAAACACCCATTTGCTGGACTAATTCCCCTCCTTCCACTATTGCCAGTACCATGAAAAAAAATTTCAATCTTGACAAAATATTTCCTCTTTTTTTCATTTAGCTAATTATCAAATTCTTTTATAATACTGTGTTAAATATTTCAAACAAACCAAATTAAAAGGTAATAGAAAAAGAGATAAGTGTTCCTGAGAAGAAGCTATGTTGGATATTTGGCAGAGATGTTGAAATGATACGCTGAGTACAGCGTACCAAATATTTTATTCAAATTTATTTAAAATAGGGAATTCAATCCCTACTTCTGTTAATCGTATAACATCAACCGAAGTAGTAATTAAATTCTCTGATGCTCAAAAAAGTTCAGTACTTTTTTTTTACTTTTTTAAAACTTTTATTATGATATTTACAACTGTATTAGTATGAATACATCAAGTAAATGTGCACATAGGAATATTATCACATGAAACACGCTTGTTGAGAAACTACCCATTGGTAGCACTCTAATAATTTGTCTACATGAGATCACGAGGCTATCTTCTTTTCAGACGCCTCGGAGGGTTATCAGGAATCGAAGAGGAAGCAAGGTTAGAAACAAGAGGATTCGGATGGTTATGAAGTTTATTATGGAAGGATAGGTATTTGGCCAAATCGGAAACATGTGGAACATTGAGGTCTTTATGGATTATTTTATTTGTGACAAAGTAAGGAGCATTGAGGATTTTACGAAGGATTTTGGATTGTAAAGATTGGATACGAGAGGAATTTGATGGTTTAGTGGAGCCCCATAGCTCAACTCCATAAGTCCAAATAGATCTTATTATAGTTATGTATATGAGTCGTTTGTAATTCATTGGAAGTTTAGAGCGTTTGTCCAGTAAGTGTTGGAGTAAGCGGAAACGTCGAGCAGTTTCTTGTCGTTTCAGTCTTGTATGATGATTCCAGGTGAGACGTTTGTCCAGCTGGAGTCCTAGGTATCGGATTTGTTCTACAGGGATAAGCGGGGTGTTATTAAAGGATACCGTAGGACAGCAAGTTATTGTTTAGTACTTGAGTAAAATACTTGGTACTCAGTACTCAAAGTAGCATATGGCCATCTCTGCTATTTGGCAATGAACACCTTTCAGACAATATCAATGAGAATAAAACCTAGCTGATATTCAAGACTATTTAATTGCGCATTGTTGAATTCCAGAATATTGTTGACATTTATATAATCCATAAAATAAAGCGCCTCGTCCGATCAGTCAATTTTAACGAGAAAATTGCAGTAACATCCAAGGCATATACCTACCTACCTTAAGTCTGAGATGGGCAAAAGTGAACCGAGAGTGGGTACCGAGTACCCAGTATTTTACTCATATTGGACCGTTATTGGGAATCCAATGACTACTTCAGTTAATTTATTTATTTATTTGTTTGCCTCTACCCGCTAGGGTCATTGGTCATCCTCAATTCACTCACACTTTTCATATTCTATTGTAGAATCAAATTATTTTCAAGAAGTCCAGTAAAATCCACTTTCATCTCCGCATCCTGCAACACGTCCCGGATAGTCTCATGCCTGTTAAGGTTCTTCAGGATAACTGCATAATGTGTGCAATCCACGAGATGGTGGTTCACAGTTCTAGGAAAACCGCACCTGGCGCAGGGCGGTGGTTCTCGACCGTGGAGTAGGTAGCCACGCGAAAATTCGCAGTGACCAATTCTGAGGCAGCACAGGATAATTTCCTCTCTTCTAGACATCCTGTTACTCGTACGCCATTTAGCACTATTGGGTTTAACCAGAGCAAGTTTGGAGGGGTTTCTTCTCCATGTTTCATTCCATTGAGCTATTATTTGAAGTTTCGCTTGCCTCAGCCAGTCCTCCCGAGGAACATTATCAATAGATTTTACCTCATTGTTAACTTGCGTACGAGCTATTCAGGATGCGACGTCTGCCTGTTCGTTTCCGTGTATACCACAGTGGGATGGAGCCCAAATGAAAGCTATTACGTTTCCTGCCCTTTTACTGACCCAAATGAGTTCTAAAATATATACTATCGTTACATGTTTAGATATCTGGCTTTGGATTGCCAGAAGCACACTCATTATAATGACTCATTATAATGAGTTATAATGACTGATTTTTGGTGATTGTCAGCTTGGCAAATCAGAATCGCTTCCTTTGTGGCAGTTGCCTCTTCCGTAAAGATTGAGCAGGTACCAGGGCAACATTTATAATAGAGTTCACAGATCACATTCACACTCTATGTACAATAAATAAAATAAATTATACAGAAAAATAATATATATACAATAAATAAGAATAAAATAACCTAAAAATAAATAAATAAAAAGAACACATAAACACCTATATACAATATTTACAATTTGTCGAGAGAACTTCAAACCAGACTTGTCTCTCCAACTGTGGAGGGAAAAGTATGACTCCAGGAGTTCCCTGCACTCCTCTCTCAACCGCGTCACTAGGGCTTAACCTAGTGGAGATTGAGCAATAGTGCTTTAGCCACATACACTCATGTCGTGAGTGGAGAATCTGGCCATTGCCAGAACTCCAATATTTACAAACTATAAAAGATCGCGGGGCCACTGCCGTTTTAACCTCCTTGGATGGGTGGTGCTGGATAGAGATTGTGCAAAGGGATTTGGATGATAGGTAAGGTTCTGGTGGAATTTGGAGAATTTTGATGGGATAAGGTCTAGGACAAATGGAATATTAAGGTCATGGTGTAGGGTTTTGTTGGTTACATAGAAAGGAGCATTGACTATTGTTCGAAGGACTTTGGATTGGAAGGATTGGATGCGTTTGAAGCTAGAAAATTTTGCTGTTCCCCACAGTTCAAGTCCGTAAGTACAGATAGGTTTCAGTATTGTCTTGTAGATCAGTAACTTGTTTTCAATGGAAAGTTTAGATTTTCTGGTTAGTAGCCGGTATAGTTGTCCGTATCGTTGGTTTAGTTCCTCTCTTTTAAGTCTAGTATGAGGGTAAAGGGGTAAGAATAAAGAGATAAAGTGTTGGTTAAGCAATCGAAGATAAAAACTTAAGGCAAAATGTGCTTTCTTTTTTTTAAATTAGCTAATATTGAGCAGGAATATCTCAGAAAGTATGCGAAATAGCTTAAAAATTAATATGTTTAATTTTGTAGCATATGTAGTCAATTTTATTTCGTACACCGAGTCTTTATCGATAGCATGCATAATTTCCCTGACATGAGCGAAAAAATGACTTTCAGGGTGCTCCAACATCACCTCCTAGAAGTATGGATTTTTAGTATATTTTGCTTTTAACCAGGGCTAAATAAAGTCGCATAGACTCAATTTTGTTATTTTTATTTCCTTCTATTATTGACTGGACTAAATAGGCATAATTAAAGAAAACTACAAAACATATTATAAAAAAATAAAACTATCATGACAATGACCGCTAAAATAGTATTGTTATTATAATTATTATTAAGCACTAGCGAGAAACCCCCTGTTCACCTGACGGTGGTCCAATCCCCATTTTACTGATTATACAACTATTCATTTTATTGTACTACTCGTTGCTCAAATTGTATAACTGAAATTTACATTTATTTTGCAGTTCAGATTGTATTATTTTTTATCAACATAAAACGAAACCACAGTTCGGACAAATTTATAATTAAAAATTAATAAATAATTAAAAATATTAATTATACATCGCGCTTAATTGTTAATTTATATTACTATATAATTATAATTATTCTTATTGGCAATTTGTAACCATAACATATATTCAACTTGGAGTACAGCTTCATACAAGCTCAACCTCAATTTAAGCCTTTATATCTAATATTTTCATTATACGTTATATTGTGCTTCAATGTCTATTTTATAATAATTATAATTATATTTTCGAATCCGAGTTTTCAGCTTAAATTATCTTAAAATCGGTGCTAACGATTTTGATTGATCTCGTTATATCAATGCAGAATCCAATCGACTTCAATGGAAACGTAGGTGTTATCCCCACTGAAATAGTTTGACATGGCTTAAAATGGCGAAATTTCTTTCTCTAAAGTCTCTTTAATTTTTTTTATTTAAAAAACTAGACCGTTTCATTTTGTAACTAGTAATAAAATTTGGTTAAACATAAACAATGAAAACAATTAATAAACAAAACAAATAATTTTCAATAAATATTTTCACGCGAAAGCCTAAGGCACAATATGTAATATTAGTAACTCCTTTGATGTTTCGGGTTACTTGTTTATTGAAAAATGTTCCAATCTGTTCCAAAGGACATTTATAATAGTTGTCAGAGATCACATTCACACTCTATGTACAATAAATAAAAATAAATTATACAGATAAATAATATACATGCAATAAATAAGAATAAAAAAAAATAAAAAAGAACACATGTTTCGGATTAAGCTCAGAATTTTTTTCGGGAGATCTACTTTTCCAACATTAACATCTACCATCCTTAATATTATAATGTATTATATAGATTCGTAAATGAAAAAATATCATTTTTGCTCTAAGCAGAGTGGTTAGTAAAAGGTGTGTGATTGTGCGCACCGTCCCAGATTTTTCTATTATATTTGCTTAAATGTAGAGCTATTTATCATCGGAAGTATTTATAGTTTACTTCCCAGATCTTTAGATCATGCGGTTGCATTTAATGTCTACATTGTATGAAATATCATTTCTACACGAAAACCTACATCTTCACCCTTTCTCTTGAGTAATTTTCAAATTTTTAAATGTCAGTTTGTAACCTAATGGAAATAGACTTTATCATTCTAGTAAACAGTTTCATTAGGACTTGAATCGAGGTAGGTATTTGTGGAGAAATTGCTTGAAGTAATGTAAGATTTTATTACTTATACTTACATGCATCCATAGTTTTTGGTCTATTCAGTGTGAATTATCAGCTTTGAAAGAATTATTTATAACTTTGATAGTTTTAGAATCGCTACATAAATAACAAATAGATACACTTTTTAAAACTAATTTTCTTTTTGCAGGAAGACAGAAGCCGATGAGAGCCATGTATCCATGATACCAGGTGCACCGGAGGCACAGTCTTCGAAGACACCCCAGTATCTGGTAGCAATGGCGGGTACGTTTCCACTTCCGACCTTCAATAGATTAATAATCAATAAAAATTTTTGAATTCAATGAGTATTGTTAATAATTACTAATGTCTAAGACCGGCACTGGCCTGAAGAGGGCCAGTTTAATTTTGCTTTCCCTTTATTCATCTCTCTTCCTCCTATTTTTACAGTTTTAATCTTAACAGTTTTATGTTTCTCGGGTATCCGAGGAAGTTTCTAGTGCTTCCGAGAAGTTTCCGAGTACTTTGTAGTACAGAAAGTATTCTCTCAGAATGTTCCATTTTGTTATTGCCAACTATAGTAGACTTCATTCCTAAATTCTTTATTTGTTATGGTCTTCCTTAATCTTCACTCTTCTAATTTCTTTCTTTCATGTTTGTATATTTCCTCAAATCTTCTCGAACACCCACCTGTTAAGGATTTGCAAAGCTTCCTGCGTGGTAGACCAATAGATGTGATTAACATATTTCTGGTGATTCGCAACTGAGCCATACTGTTGATCGACACAAGGTGTGTAGCTTTTCCTCTGCAATTGTGTGAAAAACAGGAATGGAATGGCATAACATCTTATGGCATAACATTGTGTTATGAATAGTCAACATGACTGTGCCTATTCATTGTTGTTTAGTTCCAAGGTAATCCAAGATTCATAGGGGTGTGGCCTGTTAGCTTTGGATTTCAAAAGAATAGGTAACTTGGATTTTCTCAGAAACTATGATTATTAGCTTTGGAAGCTTACTTTTTATCTTCAGTTTCTAATAGTATAGTCTCCAGTCGATGATCTTTTAATTTTAATTTTAATAATAATTGAAAAGTATTCCTTATCAATCATCAAAGTTTTACTTATCCAAAAATGCTCTGTCGGCGCTCTATTTCTGGAGTACGACCAGTCTTCTGTATGTCTAAAACAATACGAAGGTCGTGAACGTCCCATGTTGGAACGCAATTTCCCAGTCTTTACCGGGCCATTTCTCTTCTCAGTATACAACGAAAGTCATCATATTCCATTCGCTTTTTATATAACCCTTAAATTATGTTTTGCATGAAATGCGCCAAGTATGTAATACTCTCAGGCTTTTCATTCACATAATTTTATAGGGGCAGTTTGTTTCAGTGAGCATAATCATGGTTTCGGCCGGGACTACGATAGGCTGGAGCTCGCCGGCGCTGGTGGAGATGAGATCACCCAACGCCACGCTCCCGCTGACGGTTGAAGAAGGTTCCTGGGTCAGTTCGCTCCTGGCCATCGGAGCGTGCATCGGATCGATTCCCGCCGGGTCTATGGTCGAACAAATCGGAAGGAAGGTAACCTACAGGCTCTTGATGTAATAATATGAATATATCCGTGAGTTGGTGTATTAATCAATTAACGTATTTTTTTACTGCCAGTATAAGAGTCAAAAAAATCATTTATTTTTCGTTTCACAAATCAAATTGACAAGCCGCGTACCTCCGTTTCTTGCAGCCTGAGTGTTATGATCTTTAGCACTCGCTAATGCTATTGTCCCTGCCAACAAGAGCTGTGAGTTCAAAGACGTCTTCTTGGTATTCCTCCTTCTTCTGTAACGTACTGAGAGGTGCCTTTCTATTGATCTCGACTCCAGATCTGTCCTATCAAAGATCTTCCTTGGGATCTTTTACCTTCTGTGATAGCTTCAGAGGTAGCTCTGGTAATACGAATCTCAGACATTTAAGACACGTATCCACATCTCCTTATGCGTTCTTCTTCCAATATTTCTCGATTGGTCTCTTATCGAGGATCGTCCTAATTGTTGTCTTCCTCACACGGTCCCATCTTACCTTTCTATCAACGTTTCCAAAAAACCTCATTTCCATTCCTTCGACCTGACTCTTTGGTTTACTAGTTTGGTTGAGTAGACTAGCTTCTTTTTATGTTTAGAAATTTCTTTCTTTTCCAGAAAGCCCAGCCTAATGTGAATTGGAATAGCTTCCCGCTGTCCCCATCATTTCCTCTAATTCGCCTTCCTATGCTCATGCAGATGGGATCCAAGATATTTATAGTCACTAACATGTTCTAATTCCTGTCCGTTACGCCTTAATAATCTGTCCGCGCGAGTTCGAAGTCAGTAAAACAAATTAATTTCAAGCCAAGTTTACTTCCCAATGTTTTGTTCAACTTAATAAAAGCTTTATAGTTTATTTTACACTAAGATAATTTCCATTTTTTTTTCTAAATACGCAATTGAAGTATAGATCTTTCTTTGCGTTCAATAAATTATAAGACATGATTTTTACAGAAAAAAATAAGTGAACAGCTAATGATTTGTTATGAGAATGTAATTATTAAGAATAAATTTTATTAAATTTTTGTTAGTTAATTTTAGATAAATGTCTGCAAAATATTGGCAGGAGGGGCCAGAAAATGCCTTGCGCCAGCGTCTATGATTGTTGACATAGTTTTAGAAATAAATCTGTTCGGTCTATATAAACGTCTAGGTACTTCATATTATTTTTATATTTATGTCTTAATTATTAAAAGAACTTCTTTTTCAGTGGACCATCATGAGCTTATCAGTTCCAACGACGGTGTCCTGGATTCTGATGCACTGCGCAACCACAGTCAATATGGTTTATATTGCAAGGTTTATCGCTGGGATCTCCTTGGGAGCTGTGTGTGCGGCATGTCCTGTGTACCTCGTCGAGATCGCTGAGGACAGCATCAGAGGTAATCGATCTCACCGACTTCGAATCAATAAACAAATTTTCATAAACTTTTTGCTGGGTAAAGTGTGTTAATAGAGTAGGTACCACTGACTTCGGCATTATATTACAAGTCCTTCCACAATCCAAACATCTTGCCTACTTTAATGGTGCATGGTAGGTCATTGTACGACCGTGACCTTAAGTACTTAGCGTCGACCTTGATGGACAATTGGGAAGCCGTCGAACAGGGTCTCTTGGGAGTCGAGTATCTGTTCAATGGGCGTCAACGATATATTTTCGACATTTTGTTTGACATTTAGTTTTTCTTTTTTTTTTTTTTCACTTCCTGACCGTTTTACAGACTTCCGGGCCCAGTTCCCTCTCCCAAAATGGTATATATATATATATATTTTACAATCACAATTTTAATTTATAATGTATCAACTTATACAAATTAAGTTATATATTTATAAACATACTAAAAAATATATAAGAAATTTATTTCTAAAAGATCATTGTTCTTATACTTATATATCATTATACTTTTTTTTTGGACCTTCAAGAAACAAATTTCATAAAGGTAACTTTTTTCTTTCAGAGTAATTAAAAGTATTAATCGTTACTGTTACTAAAAAAGGAAAATAACAAAAGCCCCTTCTGCAAAATTCAATCCTGGGTTTCAATTATGTATACATGAAATATATAGCAAGGGAAAGTATTGCGATCGTGAAAAAATTTTGGACTTCCAATATTATGGACGTCTGTTCAAGAAAAACCGTGACTCGCTTAAACAAACACAAATCATATATTTCCAACATTTCTGCTGGAATTTGGGCAATTGTTTATATGAACTTTTTTTTTTAAATATTAATGTCTACAAACAACGTTTTAAATATTTCCCTCTACGTACGAGACACTAAGTATAAGGAATGTTACAGCAACGTTTTTGCCGAAAATGGCACTTTATATCATCCATTTGACAATAAAACTCAGAATTTTTATAAAAGATCCAATTTTAAATTTTATTTGTTTAAAAATTTCTTTAAATTAGGCTAGTTAACAAGCAATTATTTTTTTAACGTTGTGTATTTTCTTTAATCTTTTTTTCTTTTAATATTTTGTATCCTTGAAATAATTGTTTTGAATAATATGGCTTACATATAATATAATATGGCATATAATATGGCATGGATAATTATTTATTTTCACTTTCATATGTATGAAAATACCTATTTCTACTCAAGTTAGAGTAAGTGGAAGTCGTGTCATGCACTTACCGCACCAGATTTTTCAATAAATAAATCAGAAGTTCTAAATAAATAACCTTTAGGTGAAGTGGTATTCCAGATCCGCAAACGTATTTTCTCAAACCGTTTTATCTAATCAGCTTGATTGATGATTTTGTTTTCCATAATTCTTTCTCAAAATCATAATTAATTAAACAGAACAACAAAAACGATTTTATATGTTACGTTAAAGAATTATAAAAAATGTAATAACAAAAAAAAAATATATATATATATATATTATAGTCACTAGGTTATAAATAAGAACTGTTCTCGATACATTATTGGATTAGGTTTCTTCTTTTTTCTTTAAAACAGTATTTTAAAATTAATCTTTCCCAAAGTTCTTTCATTTATAATAACCCCATTCAAGAAATGAAGACGATAAAAGGAAAAATTTCCTTATGATATGAATGTATATGATTTAGACACACATATATAATAATAATAATAATAATAATAGAGTAATCTGAATGTATGGAAAATCGAATATATACATCTATTAATATTAACTTATTTTTAGTCGTATTTCGTGGTAGATCTGTTAGATAAAGCTCAGAATTTTTATAAAAGATCCATTTTAAATTTTATTTATTTAAAAATTTCTTTAAATTCGCCTAGTTAACAAGCAATTATTTTATGATATGAATGTATATTATTTAGACACACATACATAATAATAATAATAGAGCAATCTGAATGTATGTAAAATCGAATATATCATAATACTATCTTATTTTATCTTGTAGATCGTGGTCAGTTTAATTGTGGGAATTTCGTTCAGAATTTGAAACTTTTCGATTGTACAGAGAATGAATTCATTAAAGAAGAAAATTATAAAAGGGAAGTAGTCGGACTATTCTATATATCATGGCTGATAAATGTTCAGGACGCAGTCTTTTAAAAAAAAAAAATTTAATTTTTTATTTGTGCCAGCGTTACAACCCAAACATGTGTGTCATCTTCAGAGCGTGGTTCGAGCACTGGAGGCTTTTAAGTACTCAAATCAGTATCAGTAGATGACCCACATGTCTGGGTTGAAACGGTGGCACAAATAAAAAATAAAAAAACATTTTTTTAAAAGGCTGTATCCTGAATATTTATCACCCATAAAGAAGAAAATGTTCGTAAAGATTAAAAAAAAAATCAACTAGTCTACTTGTATATTCATCATTTCTCATTATAGAATAGAATGGAATAGAAAAAAGACATTATCCTGGGAAAAGGTCCCCTAAAAATAATATTTGTACAAAAATAATTACTTCTGGTCAGAGATCTGTATCATTATATAAATTAAAGAAATAAAAAACTTTATGTAAACTATCAATATATATATATAGAAGAATCAACTTTATTCTGGGACTACGTCCCTTGAGAATAACATTATTGTACATAAAATTAAACATTACATCTGGCCAAAATGTATATTACAATAAACAAAAACAAACAAACAAACAAAAAAAACCACTAAAAAATAAGGGATAAAAGAAGTGTTTACATAACTGTACAGATATCGGAAGCCATAATATGAGAAATAATGTCCTAATACTGCAAAATAGTTGCTATACACAATACGCTATGAAATTATAAATGAGCGAACAGATAATAATAAAGATGTTATAGTAATAGTAGTATGTTCGTAGAACATAATAGTATAATCGAAATACAATAATAGTGTAATCGTACATACACAATATATACACCCAATAATACAATAATAGTGAGAATACAATAATAGTACAATAGTATATATACAATATACATATATTAATATATATATACATATACATACATACAATGCAACAATAGTATAATAATACAATATAGGCTACCCAGCGTCTGATTGAATTGTAAGGAGGAATTGGAAAAGGAGGGTTTTAAATGTGGATAAGGATGGTGCATGGCGGATTTTAAGTGGGATGGAATTCCAAAATGTTGTGGATCGGACAATAAAGGAGTGTTGAAATGAGGCCGATTTGTGGAAAGGGGTATAAAGGTCGGAAGGACGAGATCTTGTGGAGAGGGAGTGGATAGATGACTTGAATTGAAGGAGATTGAATGCGTAGGAAGGACGATGATTATAGATTATTTGGTAAAGGAATGTACCTAGGAAGTACTGTCTTCTGAAGGAGGGGAAGAGCCACCCTGACTTGGCGTAGTAGTGGGAAACATGAGAACGTCTCGGGGTCCCATTGACAAATCGTACTAAGCCATTCATTATTCTTTTCAGTCTGACTCCAAGTTCCGATGAGAGGCCACCGTACACTACACAGCCGTAGTCAATGTGGGGGAAGATGAGGGCGGATACTAGGAGTCTACGTGTGGATATGGGTAGGAGATGGCGGAAGCGATGGAAGAGTTTCAGGATGGAAATTGAACGTCGGGATATGAGGGAAATATGGTGATTCCAGGAGAGGGTTTGATCTATGATAACACCTAAGTTTTTAACTGAAGTGTTGAAGGTGATGGGTTGGTCATTCAGGTACAGGAGAGGAATGTTGGTATTTGATCTGAGAAGGGGTTTGGAACCGAGGACAATGGCTTGGGTTTTAGCAACGTTTAACCTTAATCCATTTTCACTTGCCCAGGCACAAATCCGATTTAGGTCTTCTTGTATTTTGGCAAACGCATCATGCCATTCAGAGGGAGCGAAGGAGAGGTAAATTTGGGAATCATCGGCATAAAGGTGATGTGAACAGTGAAGGATTGATTTATGAAGGTCGTTAATATATGAACTAAAAAGGAGAGGAGATATGCTGGAGCCCTGTGCCACTCCTGAGGACAGAGTTAGATAGGATGATAAAGGTTGGTTCGGGATAGAGACTGCTTGGGTACGTTGAGAGAGGAATGATTGAAACCAAAGGATAGAGCTGTTGGAAAAGGATAACGATTTCAATTTGGAGAAAAGGATGGAATGGTTAATGGTATCAAAGGCTTTGGAAATGTCCAGGAGGATAAGGACCGTTAGTTTTTTATCATCTATGGCTGACTGAACATCACTAACGATTTTGATTAGGGCGGATTGTGTGGAGTAGCCTGGTCGAAAACCAGACTGGTAAGGGTCAAGTTGATTGGATTGTTCTAGGAAGTTGGAAATTTGGGATTGGACTATTCGTTCTAGAGGTTTTGCAAGGTTAGACAGAATTGAAATTGGACGGTAATCTTCAGGGGAAGAAGGGTTAGGATTTTTAAGTAAAGGACGGACAATGGCTTTTTTCCATGAGGAAGGGAATATTGCGTTCTGAAGGGAGAAATTGTAGATGAAAAGTAGAGCGGGAAGGATTTCAGGTAGGCATAATTTGATTAATTTGACGGGAATACCATCTGGACCAATGGAATTGGAATGAGATTTCATGACGGCGGATATGAGGTCTGTAGGAGAAATATCTGAAAAATAAAAGTTGTCGTCGTTAAATGATATTCCAGGAGTAAAGAAGGAAAAGGTTGATGGAGGAATGCAGGAGGAAGCTGATATAAAATATGAATTTAAATCATCAGGTTTGACTGGAAAGGCTGCTGAGGAAGGTGATCTGGAAGAGTCACAGAGGGAGAGTTTACGAAGGAGTTGCCATTTGGTTTTGGAATCAGGAGCTGCTGAAAGGGCTTCGTGGAAATAGGAGGATTTGGCTCTTCGGATATTGGTTTGTGTCAGGTTACGGAGCACCCTAAACGCTTGGTAGTCGTCAGCGAGTCTAGTGCGTCTAAAGCGTCTGCGGGCTGCATCGCGTCTCTTCTG